GACACAACCAGTGTAATTGGCGACGACTATTACATATTGTATGTGTAGCCGCTAGTATTAATTGGCAATAAATTAAGGATAACTAGCTGTTAGGGTTACGGACGGGTAACACTCTAAAGGGCATTGCAACATAACTGCTCTTTAAATTCAATCAAACTCATATCCATTACATAAGAGAGATGTCTCTCTATGCTATCAATAAAAAAATTTTATTTAAAATTCATCGCCAATTAAGTGACAGCAAAAATAGTAAATTTATACAAAAATGCTTTTTTTGTTATTTCTCAGAAACAGCAGAGTCGGGACCTAAACGTTTAACCATAAGTTGTTCATAATATGAACAAAAAAAGAGTCCCTGAAATTTAAAAAAAATGCTTTAATTTAGGAAATAAGTTGAAAAGATGTAGGAAAATTTAGGATTAGGCTTGATTGTCAGGAAACAAAGTCGCTTAGTTCCTTGAAAATTTACACCGCACCGTGTTTACTAGTATATGTGTAAATGTATGTACTTGTGTCAAATCTGGAAATTAAAAAAAAGAAAAAAAGTTCGAGTTGTACTCGGTCATCCGATTTTCTACTCGATTAATCAACTCGGTAGCCCAAACGAGTAATGATCGACGAGCTCGATTAATCGGAACACCACTAACACACACACACATATATATATATATCAAGAGTAGATAATAACACAAGAGTGAGACACCCGATTCCCGCATTTTTAACCGATTTTTCTCATCAAAATTTGCCACCAATAAAGAAGCGATCCCGCATTTTTAACCGATTTTTCTCATCAAAATTTGCCACCAATAAAGAAGCTAGTGTACATACGTTTCTCAGCTTATTATGACCACTAATCACTCACCTTCGTGGTACTCGTATATTCGTTTACATATATTTGCTAGCGTATTGCTGTAAATTGTAATCTTGCAGGAGCTGAATTCGCACAATTTACCGCTATTGTGTGAGGTGTTAAGACAAAATTTGAAGCTATAGTGGCGCCAATATTTAGCAAAGGACTGTTTCCAATAATACCCTGCGTGTATGTATGTGCCCTAACCCTAACCCTAATTAATAGTAGGCGATTCCAAATATAAAACTAGGATCACACTTTCTCTACAAGATAGAGAGCACTTCGGTGATGTGCCAGATATTAGACTAGGTGAATGATCGTACTCACGCTCGTTCCTGGCTGTCGAGGGTCTGTACCAGCTTGTCTCTCTCATTCACCAGCTTTACAAGCTCATCTAGCAACAGCTCTTCTCTCTTCTTCTGGTCTTCAGTCTTCTCCCATTCTAAGAAGGAACAAAATGACACCAATCTGTACACTAATCATCGATAAAGAAGTATATCTAGAGGTATTTGTTTTTCACGTGAAATACGGTGGACCAATGAGAATATTTAAAATGTAAGATCGTGAAAAGTGCCAACATATGCACAGGAGTCATCAACGCATCTCTTCTATTAGGCGTTACGTAATTCAACGAGCTCTAACGGAGCCTTCATCGAACAGAAAAAAATACCGCATCTGCCCCTCACCGACCCCCTCACACTATATCATCATCATCAAGTACAGCGATTTTCTTTGACACAACCGATCCCGGCATTGCTGAGAAATGACACGGCGATGACAAAACTATTCGGCTGGCATTTCACATACCATGACGCCTGTGTAGAGAGATCGACACACTTACGCACGCACGCCCGCCCGCACGCACGCACACATACCAACAACTACGTGCACGACCGGCGGGAGGGATGCACGCTGCGGGGGTTTGTTCATTGTTTTTCTTTCATCTAAAAAAAATAGATGCGCCGCCATTTCGAAGAGCACGCGGTTGTGCGTAAAAACCCGATGGCGTAAACGCAGCCAGAGAGTACGTGTAGAATTCGCGCGCACGCAGTTTTGCGATGGCATTTACACGGAAACACCTTCACCGCAACGGCTGCAGTTCACGTGTACGCCCTAACACCTTCTGCAAACACGGATCCGCCGCACACGGCAGCCAATTTGAAGAACATGCGGGCCAGCAAGTTTTTAGGTGGCATGCCGCTATAATGATAATTGCTGATCAACTGACTTGCTTTCACGACCGGCGTTATTATCGTGGAAACTGAAACAAACTTAGCACAATCAACTATCAAGCTCAACTGTCTTCAACCTGAAAAAAGTACTAAATGCGAGCCATTTGTAATGATTTTCTCACAAATACTAAGTACTTTTGATAAGTGCTTTGTGAGTTTCGGTATGATTACTTTTCTTATGCTCAACCATCAGTTTATGAAACATCACAGATGCCATTGGCCTAAAATTGTTATATGAAATTAGTACAATGGCTGCATTTATTGGCGGTCTATATGGCCTGTTTATTTATTCAAATTATCCGAACCACTAGCAGAAAAATCCGGCTAAATTTAATTTTGGTCCAGGGCTGGTTGACGTCTTTCAAGCAGCGCAGGAAAATAGCGAATTGTGAAATGCGACGTCACCTACAGCACATATGTTGCTCCTCAAATGCCAAATTATTTCTATGAATTTTTGCTAATAGCGTATTATTATATCGAGTAGGATGAACAAGAGAAACTATGAAGAAATATTTGAATGACCTATCGGGGCTACACTGTTATATATATATATCTGACAATGCCGAACCGATTGACTTCAGTATAGGTCGCAACCATGCATTTACGTATGGTAATGCCAACAGCAGTCACAGTATACCTAACCATATACATTATAGTATGATCACACCTATAAAATATAGATATGTAGATGATTGTCTATCTATCTATCTATGCAATACACACAGACGCGCGCACGCACGCGCGCACGCACGCATATACACACACAACACACACAACAACAACACACAACACACACACACACACACACACACACACACACCACACACACACTAGATGTTGGAGATCGGCAAATTTCCGATCGATCATCGGTTCTTACAAAACGACCGATGGATCGCAATTAATCATTCGATCATTTTAGATTGGCGGCGCACGACGCGGGACGCCCGCGTCACGTGACACAACCAGTGTAATGCGAAGAATATTCACTATATTGTATGATGTAGCTAGGTTATTTAATGGCAGTATAATTAACGGATACTAGCGGTAGCATATAGGGTACGGATCGGGATAAAACACTCTAAAGGCATTGAACATTAACTGCCTCTTTAAATTCAATCAAACTCAAGCCATTACAAGAGAGATGTTCGTCTAGCACTATCAAATGAAATTATTTTTATATTAAAATAGTCATCGCCAATTGAACGTGCACAGCATAAAAGGTATAGAATTTATACAAAAATGGTTTTTTTGTGAATTTCTCGAGAAACAGCAGAGATGCGGACCTAAACGTGGTAACCATAAGTTGTTCATTAATATGAACAAAAAAAGAGTCTCTGAATGGTTAAAAAAAATGCTTTAATTTAGGAAAGAGTTTAAAAGATGTATGGAAATCTGAGGATTAGGTTTGATTGCTCAGGAAACAAAGTCGCTTATAGTGTTCCTTGAAAAATTTACCACCGCCACCGTGTTACTAGTATATGCTGTAAAATGTATTACTTGTGTGCAAATCTGCGCAAATTAAAAAAAAAGAAAAAATGTTCGAGTTGTGACGCGGTCCAGCGTCCGATTTTCTACTCGATTAATCAAACCTCGGCAGCCCATTATACTAGAGTACATGCCATCGACCAGCCTCGATTAATTCGGAAACACACTAACAACACACACACACACAGTATATTAATATAGCAAGAGTAGATAATAACACACAGAGTGAGACACCCGATTCCCCATTTTGTAACCGATTTTCTCATCAACAATTTCCCAAAAAGAGCAAGTGTATTACGTTTCTCAGCTGAGTAGTATGACCACTATAATCACTTCACCTTCGTGGATCGTATATTCGTTATACATATATTGCTAGGTATTGCCTGTTAAATCGTAATTGAGGAGGGGAATTCGCCACAATTTACGCGATTGTGTGAAGTGTTATAGACAAAAGTTTTGAAGCTATAGTGGCCGCAGTATTTAGCAAAGGGAACGTTTCCCAATTATACCCGGCGTGTTATAGTAATGCGCCCTACCCTGAACCTCAATTAATAGTAGGCGATTCCAAATATAAAACCTTAGGGATCACCACTTTTCTACAAGTAGAGAGCACTTCGGTGAGTGCCAGGATATAGACGAGTGGAATGATCGTAGACTCACAGCTCGTTCCTGTGCTGTCGGGGTCGATACCAAGCTTGTCTCTGCTCATTCACCAGCTATTACAAGCTCATCTAGCAACAGCCTCTTCATCGCTTCTTCTGTCTTCCATGTCTTCTCCCATCTAGAAGGAACAAAATGGCCACCCAATCTGCTACACTAAATCATGACGATAAAGAAGTATATATCTAGGAGTGTATTCGTTTTCACGCGTGAAATACGGTGGACCAATGAAATATTAAAAAAATGTGTAAGATCGTGAAAAGTGCCAACATAGAGAACTGAACACCAAACTAGCATATATAGCAACATATATCCGCTATAAATAACTATAAGACATGTATACACGCCACACGCACAGCCTAGATACTAGTATAATATATATATAAATATGATATATATATATAATCATATACTAATATATACCTGTACACCTTACACCTTACTACACACATACACATACCATACGACGCAATATACGCATACACATACACACCGAGAACACATACACATACACATACACATACACATACACATATATACACATACACATACACATACACATACACATACACATACACATACACATACACATACACATACACATACACATACACATACACATACACATACACATACACATACACATACACATACACAATGACATACACATACACATGCAGACACATACACATACGCATACACATACACATACACATACACATACACATACACATACACATACACATACACATACACATACACATACACTGATACACATACGCATACACATACACATACACATACAGTCACACCTATATACGATGTATAATGGTCGTTCAATGTAAACTACCATCAAATGTGTTCTTTATAGATGTTTGTTCTATACAGGGGTCCTCCAAGAGGTTTAACAGTACATATACACAATAACAAATATAAATACACATACATATTCACACGCACGCACGCACGCACGCACACACGCATGCACGCACGCACGCACGCACGCACGCACGCACACACGCATGCACGCACACATAGATAATATATCGAAAGTATGTAATCTAAAATCCTTTAATCCGCTTCCAGCAATGGCCATTCACTGCCACACATCATGTCAAGTTCACAAGAGCAGCGAAATTCAAGTTGTTTCCATGGTCGATATAATCACATAAAGCCATCTATTGATTGTCACGCTTCTAATTATTACATTTATTCGCAACCATAACTGGCACGAACAGTTATTACTTGATGCAGGCAAAGGAAATGTATCTACTGTATTAATTTCAACAAAGCTAGAGGCAGAGATCGATTATGATTAGCATGGGAAAAGCCTTTCACCCTTGTTATGCCACGCCAAGCCTAGTCCGCCTGACACAAAAATACACCATTATTAATTTCAAGTTTAGAATTTGTAAGAATGACAAACGTAAGTATATATATATGTAGCTTTTGAAATACGGTTACTGTTAACTTGCTAACTACTATACTAAGCTACTGTTACTTCCCGTAATACAACTACACCCGTACACATATGTAATTTCAGCCGTGTCACCTATCCCACGTGGCTTAACACCACGTAAAAACAAACAACAGTGACATCTGCCACACGCGTGACATCTGCTAGAAACTGTCTTGTGCTAATTCACGCAGAACTATGTTTTACCACACTCTGGGTGTTTTTATTATTCTTCCAGTGATTCTTCAGTCCTTCCAGTCCATTATTCTTCCATTCTGGCTGTTTTGAAGGCTATTCTTCCATATCTGATATACTGTCCTTTTCCACTGGTTCAACACCTCTTTCGTCGTACATCATCGCGGCCGTCGTTTGAGAAAGGTGTTTTTTACGCTAGGTGGTAGCACAGCTCAGCGGGCATGATTGCTTTTCAACGGACAACATCGGTTTTTATATCATGGAACGTGACATGCTCTGCACCAATTACAATGCGGTTATAGCCATATAACGATAGCAAAGGAAGGGTAATGACTGAACGCATGCTATTTTTCTGGCATGTTAGACAGTTCAACTATTATACTGTTGCTAGTACTATTTCATTATGCTAGTGAC